TATTATTACTCGTGTTTTAAAACTTTTAAAAAAATTTCGATTCAACCCAAAATTTCTCGTTAAATTATGAAAAGTTTGGACCAATTACTGACCAAGTGACGATGATATTAGGGACATTTGCAAAAATACTATTTTTTATGTCTAAATTTACAAAAATGTCATTTTTTGTGTCTACTAACTACTAGAATTACAATATACAACAACGATACCATATCTTTTTTTGTTTTTGGTCAGCAACCATACCATACCTAAATTATCATCTTTGGACTAATTAATTTTGCTTTCGTTTCAATACTTTTCAAATAAATTGACAATCTACAACAAAAAAAAAAAAAGGTCACCTTCACAAATTTTAAAACGCAAGTTGCACACTCAATAATATCTACAAAAAACAAAAAAAAAGATTTATAAACAGGATAGATCTGAAAAGAATATTATCAATTTGCTTAATTACAAAAGCAATCCAGATAACATATTTGAAGAAGGATAGATCTGAAAATAATATTATCTGTTTGCTTCTACTAAAAATAACTAACTGCAAAAGCAATCCACATTACAAAATAAGTAAATAACACATAATTAGCGGCAAGAAAAAGGCAGGTAAGTAAATAAAAGTGAAAATAATTGTGGTGTGTCAGAAAGAACAACAATTGGCAATTGGTAAAAGTGGATGCATGGTGGTTCGAATCGGTCCATCTGTATTATCACTCAAAGACATTTTAGTCAGTAGTGACACGTGTCTTACTTGTAACAGAAACAAGTAGCTGAAACAGATCCATGATCTATCCTTTTCTTTTTCTCTTTGAAAATTCTATCTTTGTCTTTTTATGGTAATGAAAATAATAGAAAAGAGATGTAAAAACTATTTGTTTTTTTTTTTGGTTAAGTCTTCTTAATACACTCTCTACTAAATCTTGGTTAAGTTTTCTTTTTTTGGTTAAGTAATTTGTAGGCAACTAGCTTTCAATGGCATATTCTATATTGTTTTTTTCTTAGAAAATCTTAATATTGTTTTTAAGTCTTTTACTTTTTGTTCTTTTATATGCAAAAGTCTTTGTGAATTGGTAAGCAACTTTCATATACAAGATGACCACAAAAAATAATTCTTATTTTGCCAAATTTCAAAGAATCAGCAAGCAGAAACTGAAAGTTTGGGCCTCGGGTAACAAATGCTAGGCCTTGATCAGAATTGGGCATTCAAAAACCAATATATTTTGATATTTTAGATAGTGTTTACTTTGGCTGAAAGTTGACAAAAAAAAAAGTTTACTTTGGCTGAAATGGCATAAGCACATTTATGATCTCAATATGTTTAAATCTTTCTAATTGTAGTACACTAGAATATAATTCGCGCGATGCGCAAATTTATTTTTTACAGTTTTATTAAATTTAATAATAAAAAATTTGATTTAATTATGGATTTTTATGTTTTTATTATTTTCTTCAAC